TTAGATGAACTTTCTTATAAAGAACTGTAAAATTTGAAGAGAAGATTAAACGGATTATGCACATTAGATTTTAGAAGTATCTGATCCCTCTATACATTAGAAACCAAGTCATAGCCCTTTTGATATATTTAAAAGCAGTGGCCCAAACAACAGTGCCCTGTGACATTTGGAGTGTTGTTGATGCCTTGTAGAAGTTACCAGAGAGGCTCTGGGATTTACTTTAGTAATGATCCAATGACCTACATCTAGTTTATACAGGCTGCGTATAAACTAGAAATGAAGCTTCCAGGAATTCTCAGTCAGTAATAAAAGTTTACATAAATGTCTTTCCCAGAAAGCCAATTTCACCAATAGCAAGGAAGGGAAAAATTTTCAGAACCAGCAGTATCTGGATATAAAAAATGTCATGTGTAAAACACATGTGTGAAGTATCTCGTTAGGACTTTGATTCACACAAATTTCTAGTTACATTTTCAGTTACTGGTGAAGTGATAGTTAAATATTTAATTTGTTTGCGAGTTGCTCCCAGAACTATTATTATTGGATGGTTTAGTTGGTACTATAAAACGTTTTTATATTTTAAGATGTGTTTGATGTGTTTAAGACATGAAGCAATGATAATAGCCCCCAACTCCAATAGTACTCCGTGGCTTTAAATTGTTTGCTTCATGAGGCCTTGTGGGGGGAAGTGTTCTAGGACAATAATTATTTATTAATGCAAATAAACATTGAATTACAGGAAAATTAAGCCTTCCACCAAAACCCAACTTAGTATCACATCCTAAAGGCAGTTATTACAAAGTGTAAAGGCCCACTGCTTCTGGGTGGAATTAGGAAGTGGGTGAGTTCTGCAATCGGTATTTTCAACTCTATTATTCTCCCCTTTGGAAAGTCATCATAAGGGAAGACAGTACCTATGTCTCCCTGCTTCTGTAGAATGGTAGGAGCCAAACTTCTTGATGAGCATCTTGCTCTAAGTGCCAAATTGCCTCTTTGTGAAGATGGGAGACAAGTTTCTAATCTTTCGTGTGAGATCTATTAGCCAACACACATAGCCTTTCCCTTCTGTCTTCCTCAGTGACAGGCCTACCGGTGTACTCTCCTCACACTCAATCATTGGAGGCCTACAAGAAATGAGGCCATGGCTGAAACCCAGCTAGGAAAATTGGTCAGTTAGCCATCATTAGAGATGAGAGATCAGGTGAGCTGATCCGAGCATTGTCATGGCTCCACAGACCTTAAAGTTTCCTTCTCCAAACATGATCAACCAAGATACTCTATACATGATCAACCGAGATCCACAGCTTCTGTAGGACTCCTCTCTGGAGGAGAAACTAAGAAGGTGTAGCCCTTCATGTATAAAGGCATAGATAGCCTTTATATATACAATGTTATTCACCTCCCCCTTTCTTAAGCCCTGGCAATATTAAAGTACCCAGCCTGTTGATTCACTGAGAGATTTCACTGTGATGCTTTTTGTCAAGCTTGTATCCCACGAAATCATTCCCAGACTCTTGGGTTTCACCGCAACCCCTCTTAATCCTAATGCTGACTTGCTTCAGAGCTGCACTAGAAAGCAAAGGAGGGAAATGGAGATTGTAACGGCCACGTTCTGAGGAAGTGTTTTAGTTACTGCCTGTCCTATAATACTGTTTGTTCAGGATGATGTTGGTCATTTGCTACAGTTAATCTTCAGCAGAACTGTGCAGAAAGGACTGGAAAAAGGGTAGGGAAGAAGCGTAGAGAGGAACGTCAAATCTGAAGTGAGGAGGAGGTTAACAAGAATGTATGTAGACTGGGAAGACCCTTCTCTTCCTGCACTGACTTGTATTTAATCACACTGTTTTTTGCTTTCAAATATCCTTAGAGAAAAAACATAATATTGATATATGTACCAAGGGAAGCTGTGTAGTATTGTACTGTCCCTGGTCAAAAGCAGTCTCGGGACATGTGTCTAGATGATTTACAGACTCCTGTTTCTCTTTTTTTACATAAGTCATAGATCTATTCACTTGTAGTTATTGCTGTCCAACAGCCACTGTACAATAACTTGGTATTATGGCTTAAGTTATAACCATCTTTGATAGCTGTCTTTGGCAGTATTGAAAGTGGATACAAAACTTAGGGATGAGATAACCAATTCATATGCTAATATACATGTCTCTTAAATGCTTCAAGATGTTCACAGAGTCCATCTTCTGTGGAGAAGAAGCACATAGAAAATACGCCTGCGTAAGTTTTAATAACATGAGCTCTAAGATCTTAATATGTTAGAGTCAAACATTGACAGTCTTGCAGACTGTCTCACACTGACAACCCTGGATATTCTCTAATCTTACTTACATTGGCCACTGATGAAAATTAAGTTCTGTCTGTTGAAATGTTATTAGAAGTTCATAAGGAAAACCAAGCATGTTTCCCTGTGGGAGGAGAGCATGTTTACCCATATCAGTGATCTGTATTCATTTTGTGGCTCAAAGGTGTTTTCCAGGATGTGACTGAATCACTGAGCCAGGAGTGCAAGCGAGGCCATTCAGACGTGCTCATCGAGTCTAAAATGCTCCCTGCTACAGCCTTTCCTCCTACCCCAAAAGATCTGGATTGAAAAGACGAGAGCTTGTATATACAGTTAGAAAGCGTTCTCTTCATCCACGTGGAAGGATCTTAGAGTCTGTGACTTCAGGAATCTTTACGGTGATTTCAAATTAACCAGGGCAGCTACAGCCTGTGTTTGGTTTTATGGAGGGTCTTGTCGTTTCAGTTTGTTTTATTTTGTTTTGCTTTCTTTTTTTCTTTCTTAAAGAATCTGAAGTCTAACTAGAAGCCAGCTGATGGATGGAAGAAAAGTCAGATATAATGAGGCACTGATAATTATTTAAATGTACAACTGGCCTTGCATATACCTTTAAAGAGCTGGGCTGATGGTGTCTGCTAGGAAAGAACTAACTAGTAAGAGCTAGGGAGACGAGTCAAGCACCTGCCCAATCAGCATGAGTAACAGAGTTTGGGTCCCTAGCATTGATGTAGAATGTCAGGCCAGGTGGCATGAACCTGCAGTCTAATCACTGGAGAAACAGAGACCAGAAGGCCCAGCAGACTTGTTGGCCAGCCAATCTTACCCATTCCACTAGGTTCAATAAGAGATCCTGTATCATCGTCATCATCATCATCATCATCATCATAAAAAAAAACCAATAATGTCTCCATAGTGATAGATGAAGGTGCTTGACATCAGCCTCTGGCCTCCATACCAAGTGCACACATCAGTGTGCACACTGACTTGCAAGTGTGCATACATGAACACATACACACTTATAGATAGTTGTTGTGTATGTAAGTATGGAAAACCACAACATTTAACATTTATAATTAAACATTCCTCGGTGTTTTATTTTTAGTAGAATGCTCTTTTTTGCACAAAAGTCTATATTCTTTTAACATGGCTGCTACCTTCCTACTTCAAGCATATGTATGAAATCCTTTGAATTTGACAATATTTTAAACGGCTGAACTGAAAAAAAACTAATTTTTATTGGATTCTTTCTTTGACAGTTTCATATGTGCACAAAGTGTGTTCTGATGACTGCAGCTCCACCTGCTCTCATGCCTTTCCCATCCCTGTTACCCCCTACTTCCCTGCAAGTTCCTTTTCCAAAATCACAGGATATGCAGCATTTCATACATTAAGAAATACGGACATGACTTAAAATATTAGATCAATATTTTTAAGAAACTGGTGCTCTAAGGATAGTGTTACAATGGACAGGCCAACACTAACTTAACCATACACTTTAAAAAATTGTCTTTTGTAAAAGAAAATGTAAGCTTTCATGAGCAAACATTCTTCTTTTTCTCAGGAAATATTCCTTCTGAGACCTAACTAATTCATAACTCTACGTTCTCCTCCCTTTCTCAGCAGATTTCCCTTTGCTTATTTGGAACCTTTACGGTAAATCTCATTAATAGTTTGCTAACTCTACTAAAGACCCCCCCCCGTGACATCATTCTTTCACCTCACCAGTCTCTCCAGAGACCCCTCATCACCCCTGACTCAACTCCAATAGTTGGGTGCCCACATCATGCTTTTCAGTCTCTGCCTTACTATATGTAGGACTGCAGGATGTCCAGCCTGAGGTCTGGCTTGAGGTGTGAGCTGGCTACTACACTCCCACGTGGAAGGGGAGGACCATTTGCCCAGCAAGAATCCTGACAGAGAGTCCAAGCAGTCACTGTCACACTGGCTCAAGGCTGGGGGAGGGAGGCGGGAGGTAGGAGGTGACTCTCCGAGCTCCAAGGACACTGGGAGGAAGATAGCTGTCCTCCCTCGATGCCCTGCAGCTCCTTCCAACAGACTCTGAGCTTGTGTAGGAGGGAAAGCTGAGCCTTGTCCTGGGCGGGGCAAGGCTGACTGGGAGAGGGTGGTGTCGGGCTGGGGACTTGTGAGGCGTGGCTGAGCCCTTGCATGAGCACGGGAGGGAGACAGCAGGAAACATCCTAGCTCCAAAGCAGATCCCAGATCCTGGTGCTGAAAACATCAAGCTTAGCAGGGTTCTCAGAGGGAGAAAGGGGTGCCAAAGACATTCCCAGCTTGAACCCCAGAGAGCTGCAAGGAGCCTGCTGGAGGGTGGGCGCACTGAGCTGTGCTGGGCTCATTTCCAGCTCTGTGAGTGTTGTGAGTACAAACGCTGTTTTGTTTTCTTTCTTTTTTTTTCCTTTTCTTTTTCTATTTCTTTTTTTTTTTTCTATCAAAGAAGACTCAGGGCTCTGCTCCATTGCTGCCTCTCCCGGTGCTCCAGGCCTTATCACCAGCATTCTGTAGTTTTCTGGGTGAAAACTTTTGATTTCTTTCACGGGATACACAAAGAAGTCCTGAGCCAGAACTACAGGTGCCGGCCCCTGAGTTTTCAGGACAGGAGTCTCCGGTGCAAAAGAGGCGAAGCTCTTGGGAAGGAAAGAGACACTGATAGGACCCATCGGGTCAGCTGGAGATCTGGGCACCCATGGTTCTGTCATGGCTCACAGGATTTGGGGCTGGACTGCTCTCCCTGCACGTCTTGCAGAAACTTCTGTTCCCTTACTTCTGGGACGATTTGTGGTTCTTGCTGAAGGTGATGCGCTATGGAATTAAGATGGAGATGTACAAACTGAGAGGGGAGCTGGTCACGGTGCTGGATAAGTTCTTGAGCCACGCCAGGAGGCAACCACAGAAAGCCTTCATCATTTATGAGGGGGACGTCTATACCTATGAGGACGTGGACAAGAGGAGTAACAGAGTAGCCCATGCATTCCTGAGCCACTCCTCGCTGAAAAGGGGGGACGTTGTGGCTTTGTTGATGAGCAACGAGCCGGACTTCGTTCACGTGTGGTTTGGCCTGGCTAAGCTGGGCTGCGTGGTGGCCTTCCTCAACTCCAACCTTCGTTTTGAATCCCTTCTACATTGCATCCGCACCTGTGAACCCACTGCCGTGGTGGTGGGCGGAGGTAGAGTATGGGCTATGGTCTGCTATGCACAAAGCAAACCAACCTGTTTCCTGCCCTCTCCTTTCTAATCATGTTTTCTGTCTAATACTTTTGAGGTGGGCGATAAGGTATGCAAGTTATGCGTGTGCAGTAAGATTTTCATCCTCGTAGCCAGTGGCTTAGCTCCTCCCACGCCTCCTCAATCACCTTGCTGTAGATGAGCAATACAACTATAGAATATCTTTATAAAATTTCTGTTTCTTGCCATTTTGGGGGATGGGGCTACTGGTACCTTCGATCCCTGCAAGAATTCAAGAGAGATAGGGTTGAGCTCGTTTTTTTATAAGCCCTGACAAAATGTCTCATGAATAAAAATGCTATCAATTTTTTTAACTGTCTCTCCCCCATAGTACCTTTATCTAGAATGAGTGCATTTGGATAACAGAACATTTAACCGTGAGATTCACACATTCTTAGTTCCATTCCTGCACTTACTCTATATTCTGCAGGCTAGGATTTGACAGAGCAAGGCTGGGCTGTCAGTCAGGGGCAGGCTCTTGGCAGACAATAGTCCTTTCCCTTGATTTAGTCCCTCAACCATTTTCTTTCAGTTACATTCTCCCCCCCCCCCCCCGACATGAGTTGAGATGCCTACTATTGTCAAGCACGGGTTTCAGCTAATTTAGAGCCATAGGAACAGAGAAGCCAAAAGTGTCCCTCGAGGGCTGTCTGGGGATTTCCTCAGGCCTGTGTTCCATTTTACTTTGTACAGAGGCTTGTTTGGACACTGAGGCTTCAGTGGCCTATGGGACCAAGTAGAATCTATGAATCATGCAGAATTTTGATGATGTGGCTAAATAGTATTTACCAATTACTACAGCTATGAATGTAGCAGAAATATAAGTCATCTGTTTATGGACATACTCTGATATTTTATTCATGGTTCACATCACTAGACATCATGTAGCAACTGTAAACTCCAACTTGTGCTAGAAAATGCTACCTCCCTTCAGAAGAGCACACTAAGAGGGTTACAGTGTGAGAGGATCTTTGTGGCCAAGATGCTGAGGTCAATATAAGAAGCTCCTCTAGAGCAGAACACTAAGGAGTTCTAAGAACACAGTGTAGCTCACCTCTCAAGTTGGCATGCAGACCTGGCTGTAACATGAGGTGTTGTTTAATTGTGTTCAATGATTGGTACAGTTCATGTGGTCTAGCTTTTAATCAGTTCTCCAGTAATTAATACATCCCAGCATCCCCCACTTCCTCTTTAGTGCATAAAAGCTATGGAGACTGGGGACATAGCTAAATCCAGAAAAGTACCATCCAAACACAAAGATCTAAGGTTTCGCTCCAGAACCCAAACTAAAAAATAAATAAATAAGTAAGTAAGTAAGTAAAGCTGTGTGTGGTAATCTCAGAGCTGTGAGGCAGAGGTAGGTGAATTCCTAGTGTTCATTGGCCATTTAGCATAGCCTGCTTGATGAGGTAAGGTTCCAGGTAAGGTGGAACTCAATGGAAGAGTATACAAGGCTGACCTCTAACCTCCACACAAGGTCACACACATGCACTCTCTCTGTCTCTGTCTCTGTCCCTGTCTCTGTCTCTGTCTCTGTCTCTCTCTCTCTCTCTCATGCACACACACACACATACACAAACACATACACACACACACTCATACACACATTCATATACTTTCATACACAAAGATGTATACATGCATATACATTCACACATCCACCCACATTCATATACAAAAAATACGTGCACACATACATGCACACAAGCACATGCGCACACACAAGAATACACACACAGACTACTACTTTGGGTTACTGGGATTTTACGTCAATACCGTGTGGTAGAGTTTTTCAGCAAAATAGCTAACTAGAGAAATTAAGCTTGTGTCACATCAGCCGTTCATTTTAACATATCTCAAACACAAATTACAGGAGTTTTAAAGATGTGCTAGTTCTATCTTAATTAATCAGTGTGTTGCTTTGTTAAGAACAGCCTGGGACTAGGTAAATTGTGTGCATTTAAGGTTCTTACCATGAAATACCGTGTTCTTTTAAGTGGTGTTTTAAGCTGCATTGGTGAACAGCATACTCCTAATGGTTGGATTTTTAAGTTTCAGAATCTACTGATTCTGACCAGCTGTTCCTAATGGGGATTCATATAATCTTAGAGCGAGTGTACCAAAGTGGAGAGATGAGTAGTTTAGGCAGAAGAGCCAGGCAGACCTTATGTTCAGGTATAGTTAATCACATTGTAGCTGATGGAATCTGTCGTGAGTGCTACTTTACTAAACTATAAGATGGCGATAATGCCAACCACTTCACAGCCCAATACTGAGGATTACAAGATGTGGCTTTCATGAGTTAGGCAAGTGCCTCATAGGGAGGAGCTAGACGTTCACTGATTGAAACTAATTCAGGCTGTGCTCATCAAACATCCTACACCCAAAAGAACAATACGCAGTTTGTTTGAAATGGTATTTTAGAACAGTTACACTTCTAAGTTATGTACAGCTTTTAGGGTGTGTGTGAGTGTTGGTGTGTATTGTGTAAGAGTGCACGTGAGAGTGCACATGTGTGTGAATGCATGCATGTTTGTGCATGTGGAGATCATAGGACAAGTTGTAGGACCTTTCTTCAGTTGCCATTCATATTCCTTTTGAGACAGAGTCTCTCTCACTGGCCTGGACCTCATCGAATAGATAAACCTACCAGCCATTAAGCACCAGAGTCTGCCTGTGTCTCTGTCTTCCCAGTGCTGAGATCAGAAATGTGAACTATAACACCCAACTTATAAAGATAGGGTACTCAGAATCTGTGCTTACTTTACCAAATGAGATGTCTATAGCCCCAGAAGTTATATACAACTTTAAGCAAATGTCAAAGGTCAAATCAGATAATGTCCTTGGTGATAGGTACAATTTCCACCTTGGCTTAGCTTTCTGACCATCTTCAGGAGGAAGACAAAGGAAAGGCATCGATTAAGCCATCATCAAACCTTATTCAGTAACGATGGTACCATTTCTCAAGGCTGACTCCTGTAAAGTACTCCCAGTGGTCCCGAGAGGCACACATGGTGATGTCAGGCAAAGACAACAAATAGCTCAGTTGAGTAAACTCACTTTAGTAGGTTGCAGAATCATGATCCAAATCCTGGTTTCTGAAGTGGAGCTTTGATTGAATCATAATTCATCTGTATAGGGACTGCCAGTTACATTGCATACAATGCATATATATTATACATACATGTGTATAATATATACATATGTACAATATATATGTATATATATTATATTCCAGACTCTATGAAAACATTGCAAAATGGCCACATCAAGATACCAGCCTTATAATACATGATAATTAAAAAAAATATGTACAATATTATTCCCTCCAACAAAGTCTAAAGACAAATACTTGCAAAGGAGTCTCCTATCTATGACACTATGGTCAAGGGTCTGGATTAGGTTCATGTTCTCTGCTAATCAAAGAATGAAAATGAAAAGACAACAAAAATCTCAGGCAGGACAGGTAAAGCCTAGAGATTCTCAACATAACTAATAGAAGCTGCTGGTAAAAAACAAAAAACAAAAAACAAAAAACAAAAAACAAAAAACAAAAAACAAAAAAAGCTTTTTTAGAGAAGAGGAAACGCTACTCTTAAAGAGAAGAAGCGCTGTGGATCTCCCAGGTGTCTACGGTTTCCTTGCTACACGAATGTGCGTCCTTTGTTTTCTCAATTCACTGTCAAGTAAATCACTACAAACAGCTACCTTTAAAACTGTCAGGTTTCTCTGCCTCCTCTACTTTAAATGTGATTGTACTTAGTATGTGAGTTTAGTTTAAAGACTTGAGATTTCACTTCATGAGAGGTAACTACTTCTGTTCACAGTCGAGGAGCTAATGGTTACTGTCCTGCCCTGTTTTTATGAGCAGTTGCCCTCAGGCTGTGCAGAGGAAATGTTCAGGTTAGCAACTGAGCTGTTGCAATCCTGCAATTACCCTTTAGCCATAAAGGCAATAAATACTTCTTAACGTACAACAGGAAGAGAGGGAAAAAGTCCCTTTAAATTTTATAGAAAATGATATGTACAGAGCTACAGAAAACTAAGGAATCCTACAAACTCTATTACTCACCTTGTGTTCTGTGATACCCTCTCACAGGACATTGCTAATTTTTTTCTTGTATTTATTCGAATGGCTGTTACCCCATTCATTTTTTCTCTTTCTTGGATTTAGCAGGGTCGAGAAAGTTACCTTGCTACAAAAAAATAAATTTTATTAATTAAAATATATAATGTAATTTTAAAAAAGAAGAAGAAAGAAAGAAACCTAGACAGAGAACTGAATGAAACAGAATGGCTCAGATCCATCCCTTCTCAATGGAAAGGAGAAAATGACTTAACACATCATGTGGACACTGCAGAATTTGAAAATCATTATAATGAATAGGAATGCAGAAAGGATGCTAATTTGTGGAGGGTTGGGGTGGGGGGTGAGGGGATAAGTGTTGAAGTCCAGTACACCTGGATTCAAAAGCAAGAGCATTAGCTTGGGCAGGCTATCATCTCCTGCTAGACTTTCAGTTGTCTTCAGATTCCTTTCATTTCCAAGACAGGAAATAGCCCTCACTGCATAAGTGTTCTATGACTTAAAATAAACAGTGCTCAGGAACATATACATAAATAGCTAATAGATTATTCATAAGTAGCATAAATATACATGAATAGCACACACTTCCTGAGAGTTCTGTGATTTATAATAAACAGTGTTCATAAAAGTAGCTGGACTACTATTTATGCCAGAATGGGTTTCTGGGACTCACATAAAACACTGGTATCAGAGTGTCTGTATAGTACTTTAGAACATGGCTTACTTCACAGTCATTTTCTTAAACACGGGAGCCTAGCCACATCTCTACACCAAGGCTCTTGAGCTGTTCTACATGAGAGAGTGAAAAGATCTATAATTTCACCCTGACTTCTTTGTTAACACTGTTTTGCCCAC